CTCCACACTGCAGATGTCACCCACCACTCTGCCAAGGACCGTGACATCTCCTGCATCTTGGTGTGGAGGGGATGGCCCAACAGTGGGGTGGACCCAGAATTTCCAGCTTTCTTGTCCGCCAAGATGAACTCCCAACACACAAGGGGTGCCTGCTCTGGGGAAGCCAGGTCATGGTACCAACCCCCCTGCATCCGCAAGTCCTAGCGGCCCTACACAAGACTCATCCTGGGATCGTTTGGATGAAGGCTCTCACCCGCAGCTATGTGTGCGGGCCAGGGATTGACAGGGATGTGTGTGGGCCAGGCCTGCCAGGACACCGGACCAGAGCCCCCCGGGCACCTGTGCAACAGTGGGAATCCACCTGCACACCATGGTCCTGGGTTCACTTGGACTTTGCTGGCCCTTTCCAAATCCAGATAGTCTTCATTTTAGTGGACTCCTACATCAAATGGTTGGAGGTCATTCTGGTCCCCTCCACCTCCTCCTGGGCAGCCATCCGGGTGCTCACCTGTAATTTCTGTACTCACAGCCTGCCCAACATGGTTATGACTGACAATGGAACTGCTTTCACGTCGGGTGAGTTTCAGGAGTTCATGGGCCACTACCTGATCCGACATGTCCGGTCCACCCTGTTCCACCTGGCCACCAACGGACAAGTTGAATGGATGGTGTGGACCACCAAGGACTCTCTCAGACAGCTCATCGAGGGCAACTGGGAACACAGGCTGGCCACCGGGCAATGCCAAGCTCCACCACTGGCCATAGCCCCGCAGAGCTCCTGATGGGCCAGAGCCTCACAACCAGGTTAGATCAGCTACACCTGGACCGAGCACCAGAGAACCGCCCGACGCTGGAGGTACAAGAGGCACCCAGGGGTTTCTTCCCCAGTGACCCCGTTTACACTCGGAACTACTCCAGCGGTCCTGCATGGGTCCCCACGAGAGTCGTCACTGCTCCAGTATCCTATGAGGTCTCCACAGACAACGGACAGGTCCTGCACAGACACATAGACCAGCTTCACCGCCGTCTCCTGCCAGAAGTAGCTGACCCAGTACTAGCCACAGCAGGGGCCAGTCATCTGGGGCCTCTACTGCTGCCAGTGGAGCACAGTGTGGTGGGAAACTCACCGCCGCCCAGGGACTGTTCTGACCATGCGGAGTTGCCCACACCCATTCAGAAAGGGCCGGAGCCCCGGGACTCCATTCTGGATGTGCCATCCTCCCCTAGTGCCACTGCGGAGAACCCAGGTGTGTCCCCCTGGGCTTCGCCAACACCGTCTGAGCCGAGACGCTCACACCAGGAGAGGTGTAGGCCAGCATACCTTGAAGACTATGTTTGCTAAGGGGCTTTGGAACTTAGGGGGGAGGGGTGTTATGTAATTGGAATGGTAAAGTACAGGAGTGTTTCTACCAGAGACTGGCTGAGCTTGAAGCATAGAACAATAGCTCAACAGGATCCTGGAGAGAACCAATGAAGCAGCAATGTTATGTAAATAGCCTATCTTTGGAAGTGGGGGGTGTTTGGATGTGGCAATTGCATGCTATTTAACAGAGCCGTGACCCTGAAGTCTCAGTCTTGTTCTTGCTGAAATCACGAATAAAGTAGAGCTGATCACTAGACTTGGGGTCTGTTCATCCATGGAACCTACTATTTAACATAGTCTTAATCCCTGCACCTATCCTTCTCAGTTTTGAGTGAAGCTATATTTCAAGCAAGGGAAACCTTTACCTTTATATATCCTAGGACAGGTTGAGCTGTAGTCTCAGCATCTAACTCCTCTCTGTTTGGTGCCAGTTTGGTGTAGTGGTTAAGTGTGCGGACTCTAATCTGGGAGAACTGGGTTTGATTCCCCACTCCTCCACTCGCACCTGGCTGGATGACCTTGGGCAAGCTGTAGTTCTGATAAGAGCTGTTCTTGAAAAAGAGCAGTTTCTGTCAAGAGCTCTCTCAGCCCCACCTACCTCACAGGGTGTCTGTTGTGGGGAGGGGAAGGGAAAGGAGTTTGTAAGCCGCTCTTTGGGTAGTGAAGGGCGGGGTATAAATCCAATCTCTTCTTCTTCTTCTTCTTCATCCTTCCAAATGAAATGCTCAATCAGCAAGGTTTTTCCAGTGGGTACCAGCAAAGTCTTGGGCCTTTCCTTCAGATGCAAACATAGGTCTCATGCTTATATGCAATCAAAAAGCCCTTCCAAAGCCTGAGAGTGCAGTGACTGGCAAAAAGTAAAAGTCTTGTGTACAGAAATGCCAGCTGGGATGCTCAAAGTATAGCCTTATACTAAGACTATGTCTATCAACATTGGCATTGTCCAATCTAACTGTTGGCAGCTCTCCAGGGTCTCGGTAAGGTCTTTCACATCACCTCCCAACTGCTCCTTTTAACTGGAGATGCTGAGAATTGCACATGGGACATGTTCTGCTGCTGAGCCACAGCCCATCCCCAAATAGCATCCCTGTCAGGCATTATTTCTCCTTGCTTTCACTCCCACCAGGCAGGAAAATGAAAACAGACAACAAGGTGCCAGAATAAGTGTTGTTCCCAAATGTTAAAAAAAATAATAATCCCAGAACATTTAGTATATTTGCAAGTGGATATCATTTGGCCGAATTTTGATTAATAAAGTTTCAACTTCTGTGATTTCCATTAACTCACCCTTATCCCCAATATTTTCAATTGAAATAGTAATGATACAGATCTGAGTCTTTCCTTCTTTGCTCTGCAGAGAAAAAAATTCCATCAATGTCAAAATGTTACTGTCTGAGTAGATTTAGTCCTTGGTGTATATACCATCAGACTTCCCACTCAAAAGACAACACATTGTTTTCCTTGTGTTTCTGTGTCACAATGTTGTCTCTTAGTAACTGTATACAGTCAAAACACTCCCAAGTTCATTTGCCATGTTAGCAAAAGAGAAATGTCAAAGCAGGCTCTTCAATGAATAATCAAACCAAATACCTCCAGCCCTTTCTACTTCCGCTGGAAATCCTGGCCTGTATTTTAATGATTTTAAAATTCATCAAGCACATTTCTGTGAATGTACCGATCTTCTGTGCATCTTTGAAGATAACAGGTGTTGGAGGTGTCATGCCAACAACGCTGAGTATTTTTGTCAGTGAATAGAGCTGGAGCTGGATAGTGGCAAAACAAAGCAATGTCTGGCTGTGACAGCTTAATACTGATAGGACATTGAAGGATCTGAGCAATTTGTTGCCTTCAGCCAAGTTTCTGTGTAAGCAAGGCAGGAAGGGAATGATACTGTAAGAGTGTCAGAAAAACACGTGTAATTAAGGACGTTTCTATAGCACTTCAGGGCAAGAGCTTTTCAGTAGGATTTCTGATGTTGATAGCAAGGAAGACGATATGGAAATTAAAAATAATTCATGCGTAGAAGAGAATCCAGTTAGCAATCCCAGCTATAGAAAGGGAAACTCGGAGACATCTGTTCCTTTTATCTCTTTTGCTTTCCCTGCTATTCTTTCTCTCCAGGTCTCTGGAGACTTAATTGTTCTGATTTAAATAGTAAGGTAGCATGGGTTGAGGCTGAGACCTTTAATGGGCTTGCCCAAATGTAAGTTGTATTGGAATCAGTGTGATTTTCTCTAAAATAAGGCAGAATGGTATTACTTAGAGACAAAGAATCACACTGGTTTCAGTTTTATTACTCCCAAATGTGTTAGTCCCTATCAGGGGTCATGTCGTAGAAAAAGAGGTGCAGGAGCTCATTAGCATAACTCATTAGCATAACTTATTTGCGTATGCCACACCCCCTGACATCACCAGAAGTGTGTCAGAAGGCAACACCCACCGCTCAGGCTCCACTGGACTATTTTGGATTGCTAGCTATGGGGGGGGGGGACGTGCAGATCTGTCTTCGCAGAGGCGGGAGAGCTTGTACCTGGATAAAACGTGGTCTTAAAGGTGCCACTGGACTGTTTCAGACTGGGGGGCCAGGGGGGGCCTCTGCAACTTACCTGGCTGCTTCTTGCTCTGACTGAGGGCTTCTGTGAGCAGGGGTGGGGCTTGTTGCATGTGCCCACCCCCTGGGCTCTTTACTGCCAGAGCTCCGTTCCTGTGCACTCCTGCAGGAAATGACCCCTGGTCCCTATGAACCTTTTGTCATGAAATATCCTTTTTCCGCCCAGTTGAACCCAAACAGATGGTAACCAGAAACCAACCTTGTCATTCTTTTTATCTGTTAAAAAACATCTTCACTATTTTGCATGCTGATTTAACAAGCGACCCTCTATATATACAGCTATGATCTGCAATTCCATTTCATCGTCTGACGAAGTGTGCATGCACATGAAAGCTCACACCTTGAATAAAACTTTGTTGGGCTTAAAGGTGCCACTGAGCTCTAACTTTGTTCAGTTGCTTCAGACCAACAGGGTTGCCCACCTTGATTTACCTTTAGATTCTTGTATATGATGAACGAGGAAAGGTGTGTTGTGTCTCATAGTTTCATGAACATCTTAAAACCTACTTAAAATCACTGTTACTACATCAGCAGTATATACTGTTATCTTTGGGTATGACCATGCCAATGTTGAGCATTTCAGCTGTCTAAAATTTCCAGCTGGCAAGATTTCAGTATATGCTTAGTTTTCCACCTAGAATCAATGGGACTTAAAGGAGTGTAATTGGCTTGGACTCATTCCTTATTACATTAAACAGTTTCACACAACCGTGTTTGTCAGACAACAGTTTATTTATCATATGGCAGCTCAGTTATGTCAAATGGCTGCCTGATATGTTAGGTTGGATAGAAATTATTTAAAATGCAAATGTAGTGGCTGAGCTACAGTGACAGACTCACTCAGTGATAAGACATCACCAGATAGTTATGACTTCCATTGACATACTGGTATTCTTTAGTTGGAGTCCTAATTAAATGTAATATTATTGGCTTGATTAATAGGGTACAGGATGGTGAACTTGTGTTTAGCAAGGTTTCCTGTTGCTTGGAACTTGAGAAATTAAACTTGCTTTTCCTTTATTCCAGTATATGACGGCTGCTGCACCTATGCAAGGGACCTACATTCCCCAGTACACTCCTGTGCCTCCAACAGCTGTCCCTCTTGAAGTAAGTCCACCTGTGTTTGAACACGTAAATCCTATCTCATTAGACTCCCAAACTGCTTTCAAAGGTAGTATTGCCTACTTGTTTTGCTCTCTCTTTAGAGACAATGTGGCAAGATCACCTGGTTTGGAATTCTTTTTTTCCCCCCTAATCAAAGAGAAAATGGAATATCCCATTAAGTGGCAGGAGTGGTGGGGAGGTGGATGGGGAGTGACAAAGGGGCAAGAGCCAACCATCGGACTGCAAATGCAAAGAGGTTCCAGCAGAGAAGACCACCCAAAGGGTTGGATGCTTCTGTTAGCCTAAGACTTATGCCGGTAGGGATTGCTGAAAGCCACAAGCCACCAAAAATTATGACTGAGCAAAGGAAACCTTCCTCTTGTATATACAGACCTGGAGGATGCTGCACTGACTGAGTGCTTTTTCATCCTCGGTGAAGGATTTGCTCCCTCCCTCCTTGGGGCTGAGTCCTGCTGATGTCAATCTAATGAGTAAGTATGCTGTCGGCACCGCAGAGCACAAGCTACCAGGAGAGCTGCAGCCTGACCTCCTCTGCTGTTCATCTTCATAAAGACCTTCCGGACAAATATCAGAAAGGGGAAAGGGGGCATTTGGGGGGGAGGGGAGAAAAGTGGCTTTTGTTCTGAAATTCATATATTTCCTCCCAGTTTCATTATAGCCCATTTTTGCACCCAATTATATGTGATGGACAGCATGGACTCAGTGATTGTGTCTTGATCTATGCCTCCTTGTAGAGTAGATGCAGTTACTACTCCTTGGATAGCTGAAGATGCTTCCCCCCACCCCAGCAGCTGTGTAGCCACACCTCCGCTATATCTATATTGGGGCTCCACACGTTGACTCTTTTTTTTTTAACCACTGTTTTGCCTGCAAATATTTTTCAGTGATCACTCCCATGCATTCAGATATGTCACTCCTGTTTTCATCCATCTTTTGAAATCTTTACAGCACAATGGTAATTTTTTTCACTCTCCATCATGTTTTGCTGTCAACGTTATCATAACACCACTTTTTGAACACTCTCCATTGATCTTTATGAAAGAACACCGTGCTACAAATTTCCTTTAGTTAAAAAAAAAAAAGCTTTCTGAGTAGAGATTCTAAATTCGTAAAAGGTAATTGGCTACCTCACCGACAAAAACAAATAAATAGTTTCAGAATGATCCATCAGCTGGTTTCATAGGATCATAACGAGAACAAATGCAAGTTTTCAAGGGTAATGCTTTGAGGCCGGCAAAATGAAGTACGACTGCAAAGTTATTGTTAACCTGTTGAGCCATTACTGGGGCATGAATGAAGTCACAATAACAAAGCTTTCAAGAACTATTCTTTGGAAGAATGAATTTGGTTATCCAAATAGCTCAGGTGGCAAAGATATTTTTCTTCAGCTTCCAATGTGTTACGCCTACAGTTTTTCTTTTAAAAAATAAATAAATAAAAATCTTCGTCAGTCCTTTGCAATTCATCCCCTGGAAACACTTTTTACATGAGCTTGGAAACCCTTGTTCCCTTGTTCAAAGCATGATACAGATACAGATCCTACCCTTTGTGTGTCACAATCCCAATGTGCCTGTTTGGTGGGGCTTGATTCTGATCTCACTGCAGGGAAGAGGGAAGCCACACCACCAAGTCAAACATCCCATCATTCTCAGTGAGATCCAAATCAGGTCAGTCACTCGCGTGTGATAAAGTATAATAGTGGACGGTATGTGGATCCCAATACTGTGTGATAAGGAAAAGGTATTTTCTGGCCTTCTGTGCAGAGCTGTAATCATGGCATGCCTCTCTTTTTAAACATGTAGCATTTATGTCATATCAGCATGTGGCTTTTGATATCCCCAGCAATAAAGCAACAGTACAGCTGCTCAGAAATAATGAGGTTGGTAAGATTGTGCTGACTCTCATCTCCATTGACATTATTAAAAGTAGTAAGGCCCTTTTGTGCTCCTGTTTTTTCCCCCTTCTTCTTCTTCTTCAGGGTGTTGTTGCCGATACCTCTCCACAGACAGTAGCACCTTCATCACAGGAAGCCAGTGGTCAACAGCAACAAATGGCGGTGGAAACATCCAGTGAACACGCGTCTGCATATTCCTATCAACAGTCAAAGTAAGCTGATGACGTTCATTGATCTGTAGAACAGGTACGAGTTTCTCTTGAATGTACTCCAGTAATCCCATTTAATTCAGGGAAGGTAGCTTGAATTTGCATCTTGCATTTCATAGAGTGATCTGGCTTAAAATCAATAACTGGTCTTGTTGCTGTAGACCATTTGCATCCTTTCCAAAAGCTCTGCAGTCTATGGGCTGGATTCTAGGGTGCTGTTATTGGTGGTATAGCAGCAGTTTTGCCAGTGGAATGACATTCCCTCCATAAAGGGAGGGAGGGTAATTTCTGGGAATTCCCTTCCCCACTGCAGACCCCCATTTTACTCTTGAGGGTTCCTTGATCCCCATGCCCAAAAATCAGGGGGTTCAGTGGAGGCAGGGGAGTCCTGCTGCATGAAATACTCCATCTGCAGGCAGTACTTTGGAACATGCCTTAAGATTGTCATCCTGATAACAAGGTGAGGTAGGTGAGGTAGGGTCTCCTGTTTACTAGACAAGCACTTTATCCAACTAAGCCATGGCTCCAGCTGCTTCCATTTTACAGACGAGGCTTAGAATTGGAACCCGCTAACACAAAATATACTACCAAAGTATATTTGATAGTAACAAACCTACACCTTTCGGAACAAAGGCCAGCTTTCTTCCCAACATTTCTCATAAGTTTCTTGATTATTTTTTTTTTCTGAATTGAAAGCATCGTTCCTTGCTGCAGCTGAAAAAGTTTAGTCTTGGAGCCAAAGAGTAAAAATTGCCCTTTCTCTGAGGAGCCGAACACTTGTGTTTCTGCATCAATCACTGATTTGTACCTGTCTCTTGTGACCGAAAAACAACAACAACCTGCTGGGAAGGAGATTAAGACCATTTTGGCATTACGGTCTTACCTCTTTTTACTGGCGAGTTGAATTCCCATCTGATTGTTCAACTTTGTGTCACATGTTCTGCAATGGAGTTTTTTCCTTTGCATGATCTGGGAGCAGATCTGACTCGTGCAATCCGCCATTACTTTGGGAGGTGGCCATGCCACCTCCCATCATGTAGTTCATCATTAACAGCTACAGCACTAATGATAGCTCCAATTCCTTGCTTGATTGGCTTTCTGAGATACAGGATGGCTGCTCTGCTGCTCTCTCTAGCTTAGTTAGATAAAGTGCTTGTCTAGAAAACAGGAGACCCTGGGATCGAATCTCATTGGTGCCACCTGGAGAGCTGCTTCTCTTTTGCATCCGGAAGTGTGTCTTATTTTATACCCAGCCCTCTACTCTTTCCTGGGCCAGAACATCAAAACATTGTAAAAAAGATCATGGTCCTATTAAATGCGTTCTCCAAGCTACAGTCCATGGCTCCGAAGATATCTACAGGGACTGTGATCTTTTTTGCAATGTTTTGATGCTCTGGCCCAGGAAAGAGTAGACAGTTGGGCATAAAATAAGACAGACTTCCAGACGCAAAAGAAAGGCAACTCAGGAGGCACCACTAGGATTCAATCCCAGGATCTCCTGTTTACTAGACAAGCACTTTATCCAACTAAGCCATGGCTCCAGCTGCTAGAGAGAGCAGCAGAGCAGCCGTCCTGTATCTTAGAAAGCCAATCAAAACAGGAAGCAAGCTATCATTACTGCCATGGCTGTTTGTGAACGCTCCCTTTTCTCCCAGTAACCAGGGAGTCCTGATTCCCTGATTTGCTGAACCTGGCTGCTTTCGAACAAGCAATTTTTAACCACCACTTTTCAGAGAGGGAGCAGTGCGATGTTTCCCCTTAAACTGGAATTGATCAGTCTGGGCCAGGGTCTCCAAAGGCAAAGGAAAGAACAGGAACTTGATGTACTGTAAAGGTCAAAATTGTGTTGTAACGCAATCAGTACTATTTTTTTGAAAAGGTGGCTGTCTCCGGGACAACTAGGGAGGGTGGGAGGCATGGTGAACATGTGTCACTGATGATGCAATAAAAATGACATCATGATAAGAAAAAACATTCAATGAGAATTCCTCACATGAAAGCTGAGAAGTTAGAATTCAATTTTTTTTAAAGCAGCTGAATACGAGGATTCTGAAAATGCAGGGTAAAGGGGCACAACATTCAAATCTACTCCTGGGAAGGCAAAATTGTTTGTGGGAATTTTTGCACAGTTTGAAAGTTTAAGGATGCCGATGCAGACCATTTTGCAGAAATAGTCTAAGCCAGAGTAGTGACTCATGCAGAGATACAATGGGCAGCTTTCTTTGATGCAGGAAATTCTTCACTGTAGGTGACTGAGTGATCCTTGCTGCTTTGGGCTCTCACAGAATATTTTTGTTATAGTGATGGAACCAGGGCTTTTTTTTTGTAGAAAAAGCCCAGCAGGAACTCATTAGTGTAATAGGACATACACAACAGCAGACACTCATTAGCATATCAGGCCACACCCTGACAGCACAGCTCATTCGCATATTAGGCCACACCCCCATGTTACCAGTGGTAATCCAGCCACACCTACCTTTTCCTTCTTATTCTCTTTATCCTGTTTGTTGTCAAAACCCAGGGCTTTTTGCATGTTAGGCCACACACCCCTAATGTAGCCAATCCTGATGAGTTTCTGCTGTTGGGTGTGGCCTATTATGCTAATGAGTTCCTGCTGGGCGTGGCCAACTTGGGAGCCAGCCGGAACTCCGTTCCTGTGAGTTCCTGCCCAAAAATAGCCCTGGATGGAATGATTACTTCTTTTTCATTATTTTTTGTTTCTGTGTGTTGCCATTCAGAGTGGTTTCTGTCCATCAAGTTTAATTATTGTTTCTTTTATTCCAGTTTATTCCAATTATATGCATTCTCAATTTATATATTCCACAAAAGTGATTTATATGTATTGACACCCAAATTATATTGAAGGTGTGTACATTTTTTAGGGAAACTTCAACATTTCCTTTATTTTATGCAAAGGAGAAACAAGATCAAAAGAGAGATTTTTGAGTTGAACCTGCAAGGATCAGAGATTCAATAGTACCCCTGTTCAATTACTGGTGTACTTAATTTTCCTCTTATGGTTCACTACCAGATGTCTCATGGTACATTAGTGTGCCCCAGGATATAAGCTTGGATCTACTTCCATGAGTAAGATTTCTATCCAAAGAGAAAAACTTTTTTGCCTTCTCCTCTCTACTGCAGCCAAATATGCTACCCCCCAAAAAAAAAAATTGCTGGGGAGGCAAGGAAGTCATGCTTTTTGGATAGAAATCCTTCCTCCTGTGGAAATGCTCCATGGGATCCAGGCCATTG